TGCCTGGAACAATCTGTAAAAGCCTTGCACATTAATAGAGCAGTTTCCTTTAATCGTGAATGGAAGAATCTACAGTTTAGTGAATTCTTTTGTAACAAGTTTTGTAACGCCTTTTCCGGCTAACAAATTTTATCCCATGGCATAAGCTTTTTTGACTACTTGCAGTCAACAGCTGTAAAAACTACCAAACTCCTGATTTTTTTCTACCATTGACTCTTCTTACAATGAGCTTTATATGAGTCTGAAGATGCAAGCTACCTCTTAAACTGAAAGTGGCATGTCTCTTGAGTATGTAATGGGAACTAAAACATCTCTTGGCTTCCATCATGGATATCTTTCACTGAATTCTCAGGGGCATTTTGAAAACATGAGTATTGTTTTGGGGACTCTGACTGTAAATCACTGAATCATATTATACCACTGTTTAAGAACCATTAGCATGTAAACTGTTCAACATAGTCAAGAGTTAAGTGCTATATTTCAATAACTTTCTCCGTTTCCCCCCCAAATAGATGGAGTCTTCAAATCAAAGAAGATGATTTGGAAACAGCTTTTATAATAGAACATATTCTTATCAAGTCTTGAAGATTTCCCAATCTTTTTCAACTCCATATGTACTGCACAGGACTTCAGAGAGGGTTATTTTATAAATAATGTAGTCCTTCCCATTTAGCTTATTTCACCAAGCTGTAGATTTGGAAGTATTTTAAATTCTGGCTGATATAAAATGACATTGCAGACTAACTGATACCTATGCCTATGTAAAGTGTTTCAACGAGATCTGAATAATTTGGTGGTTTATTGCTCCATAATTGCTCCATGCACTTTCATATTTTAAAACAGGGGTGTCAAACTGCCGGCCCATGGGCCGGACACATCACCAGGAAACTGCGCCCACCCCATTGCCGGCAATGGGGAAAAAGCTCCGATATGTTGCGCGACGTCACAAGTTTGACATGTCTATTTTAAAAGAATACACTGACTTTCTAGAAATTCCTCTTTTTATGGTTATTACTGGAACAAAGAAGTGTGATTTGGATCTGTCTTCATGTGCTATGATAGTACATTACATTTGAATAAAGGTTCCCTTTTTTAAAAAAAAAAGTATGATTTTATGTTAATCATTTCATTAGATGGAGCAACCCATGGACATTCAGCTGAACTTTATTTTTAAATTATAATTCAGCCTTCATATGGATCAGGCAATATCATTTATCACAGTACTGAAAGAAATAATATGGAAAACAGAAACTTGTATTGTCACCAGGTAGGTAATGGAAAAAAATGGATTTAATTACAACCCTTCCTGTTTGAAATAAATGTAATTCTTTCCACACAAACATTCTGGATTTGAAAGATTCCTTCTGCCAAACAGTTTCTTAGTTCTTCCTAATTTCTCAGGATTACTAGAAGCAACCAAAAAAAGGTTCACATAGCACAGAAATTGAGCTTGGTACTTTTTCCCCCTTTTCATTCACAGCTGTTAGAACAAAAGATCATAATGCTGGATATATTGTTTCCATTTTTATTATCTTTGCAATATTTTAACTCTCTGAAAAGCAAATCTAGAGATTTAAAGTATCTGCTTGAAATTGCTTAAGTATTCAAAGGATACACATGTTTGTTAACTCTTGGCTGATCTAGTTCCTCACTGCTAAGGGATCAAAGCATATTTGAAGTACACCAAATCAAATTTAAATAATCCAATGATTGAATACTCCTTCAAAAGTGTAGAGCAGGGGTGTCAAAGTGCCGGCCCATGGGCTGGTTTCATCATACTGAAGCCGCGCTCACCCCATTACCGGCAATGGCAAAACCGGCCCAATACGTTGCATGACGTCATCACAAGTTTGACACCCCTGATGTAGAGAGTAGGTAGAACCACAAAATAGCGTAAACAGCATTCAATGTAAATACACAACTCTGGAAAATGCAAGTTGGTGATTCCAGTTATATGCAGGCAACATTTCCTGCCCTAATTTCTCACCTGAATTTAAGGCATGCTATCTAAAGTTCAGGAAGGTGACTTTCCATTTTGGAAATCAAAATTTTTTTATTGGTGGGCATTTTTGTACAGTACATCAAGAAGGAAATATTGGCATACGGAGACAATCACAAACCTAATGCCGAAATGCTGTCAGGATAGGCACTAAATTATTGTGCCCAAGAGCGTACACAGTAGTGGGAAGCAGCCACCCTTAGTAGCCAACAGCTTCATTTCACTGGGCAGCTGGAGAAACACGAGTTTCAGGAATTAAAGAGTCTGAATTAAAAAGTAGCTTCATTCCTGCTGACTCCACGGATGTGTCTGCATAGCTGACTAGGGAAGTTTGCCAAATATTCCAGGATATTTCTTGCCTAGCCTAGCTGGTGCTGTGAGATTTCCTGGTGGTCTCCCATCCGGCCCTGTTCAGGGTTCCAAGCTCAGGGTCTTTGCCTCTCCGGCTGAGCCTTTGTCTAGAGACCAGGGGTAGGCAACCTTGGCTCTTTTATGCCTCGTGGACTTCAACTCCCAGAATTCCTCAGCCAGCACCACGTTGCGCGCGCACCCTCCTCCGAAGTTCCTCCCAGATAAGGGGCGGGGCGCTCACGTGGGCTCCGCGAGCGAGCGAGCGAGCTTCACGACAGGCCTTTTGTCTCTCGCCGGCCGCCGTCCCCTTCCCAGCGTCGCGAGCGCGCCGCGCCCCCGCCATTTTGTTTCCCGCGGCCCCCGGAGCTGAACGATCCTGCCGGCGATGGGTGAGGCGAAGGCGGCGGGACGCTGAAGGGCCGCTGCAGCAGCGCCTCAGCCGCGCTCCGTCCCGGGGGAGGCGGGGACCCACGCGCTTCTCCGACCCCCGGCGCGGCCTCCTCCGGCACGAGGATGGCACTTGGCCCGCCGGCTCCTCACGCGAGGCAGAAGGGTCGCGCCGGAACAGACCCGCGGGGTCTGGCCGCGGCCTTTCTTGACAGCCTGGAGGCGAGAAATCGCGGGGCTGGACAGGAGGGCCGCGGCGGGGGCGCGGAATCGATTACATTTCTGCCTCCTCCTCCTCCTCCCATCCCGGTTGCTCTTCAGCTGTTTAACTCCATGCGCCTTTTCCTGACCCCTGATCTCCCTCCTATAATGACCCCTCACTCCCGAACGGTTGTTTCGCACGAGCGTCTCTGCATAGCGATCCTCGACTGGCCAGCAAGCCATTGCAAATGGCTCCCTTGCCCTAGGACAGGGGTAGGCAACCTTGGCTCTTTTATGACTGGTGGACTTCAACTCCCAGAATTCCTCAGCCAGCCATGCTAGCTCAGGAATTCTGGGAGTTGAAGTCCACCAGTCATAAAGGGGGCCATAGTTACCCCATGCTGGCTGAGGAATTCTGGGAGTTGAAGTCCACCAGTCATAAAGGGGGCCATAGTTACCCCATGCTGGCTGAGGAATTCTGGGAGTTGAAGTCCACCAGTCATCAAAGAGCCAAGGTTGCCTACCCCTGGCCTAGGCGGTGCTCCAGCCGCCCTCTCGGGAGTTACTACTCCAGGTTGAAGACCACCTGCTCTATCCCGTGGCGCTTTGAGGGGGCTTCTTCACTGACAGTTCATTCCCTTCCTCCACTCTTTAACTGTGGAAGCTCTAAGCCTGTGTTTTTTTCAAACTTGGCCACTTTAAGAGATGTGAACTTCAACTCCCAGAATTCTCCAGCCAATTCATGGCTGGGGAAATCTGGGACTTGAAATACACACCTCTTAAAAGTGGTCAAGTTTGAAAAACACTGCTCTAAATGCTTTTTAAAAAAAAAAAAAAAAATCAAACAACTTTTTATTAATTTTCCAACATTACAATTATATCTTTGAAAAGCAACGTGGCGTCTGAGTTACAATAATTCCATTACATGCAAATATTATTAATACAAATCTCCAACTATTACAGCCAATATTTCCTCTCTTTTTTCCCTTAATACATACTGTCTCTTGTTTTAAATTAATATATTTCTTATTCTATCCATCAGCTACTTAATAGCTTTCTTAAACATTTATCAATAATTTTATATGTCTTATTTATTTTAACATTCCATCTTTTGGATCATCAATAACCTTATGAATTTTCCCGGCTTTAATTTTGCGTTGATATTTAAATTAAACATTTAATATTTATCATTTCCAAATGCTGCAGAATTGTGTGGATTCTTTTACACTGCTGGGGGAGGGGGGTGTTCCTGACTTGGCAAACTGGATATGAGAGTATTTTGGAATGAATATTAATATTTTTGGTCTATTTTTTCCCCAAGAGAGTAGCATAAGATTTCTTCCCCCATTCAGATTTTATATATAAAATATAAATACATATTATATATAAAAACAGGCTATTTGAGAGCAAGTGGCCCCCAGAAATGAAATTTTTAGAAACCAGTTTTGAACTTTTAAATGTAGCACTGCTGTTTCTATCTAGATCCCTGTAAAAATATTCCTGAAGTGATAAAATATTCTAAAATTGAAATGGGATTCCTCAAAAAAGGTGCACAGATTTAGTCACAGATTAAGGTGTGTATGTACCTGTGTGAAGCAACTCAAGGATTGTTATAAGTAGAACTCATTGCAGCGTCCCACAATTTGGTACCCTTACTAGACAATAGTTCCCATGTTTCCTAGCCAGCCATTGAAGCAGGAGTGCCAGTTTAAGGAAGAGGATTACAGAAATGGCAAACAGATATGTGAAACATGCTTTTATAATATAATGAATAAAAGACTGAAGCAAACTTCAGGAAATCGCTAGTTTTAACTTTGAGCCTGATGTATCTGCAGTTTAGAAAGAAATGTATGATGCTCCATCATTCTTGTACAGTTTACTAAGACGTTTATGTAATGTGTAGATTTGATATTTGTGCACCAACTCCTGATACAAAATACTTTTTTGAAATGGTAAACCTATACAGAGCTTTCCGGATATTTTAGGAATCGCTATAACAATGCAGGCCTAACAAAATTTTCATTTCCAGTTCATAGAATCAAAGAAATCGTTTGAGGAGTGGGGCTGCCCCTCTGGTTGCCAGGGGTTATGGCAGGGGGAAGAAGGGGACCTAACCGGACATCCTACTGCCGCAACCCTCTCTGTGAAGCTGGAGCTCCTGGTGGTGCCAGCCACTCCACAACTTCTTCAGTCACTAGTGTGCGTTCACGTACCAGGTACAGCCGAGCTACAGAGGAAGCCTGGTTCACTTAACAACCATGTGATTCACTTCACTGCTGTGATTCACTTAACAACAATGGCAAAAAAGGTCGCAAAATGGGGCAAAACTTACTTAACACATGTCTCACTTAACACCAGATATTTGGGGCTGAATTGTGGTTATAAGTCGAAGACTCCCTGTAAGGCCAATTTACATTTCTGGAAGTTGAATAAGTAAAACAGGTACCTGAACTAAGAGCAGAGAATTAACAAAGTTCCAGAATGCACATAAGCCCCTCTAATCACTTGCTCAGAAATATTTCGAAAACAGGACATATTTCTACAAGGTAACTAGGAAGCAACAACCACAAAGCCTGACTTGGGCAACCTCCACTTTTATTAACTGTGTACTCTCACTGTAAGCAGAAAACTTAACCCACGTTAGAATGGCATTTGATATCATTATTGGCCAGCATTTATTATGCAGTTTATTTGTATCCTCAAGGTCGAAAGATTGTTTGTTACCTCACCACCACCCCCTCAAGAGGGCAGAACTTGTGTGTTCTGACCCCAGTACTGTTCAAATAGACTTAGCTTAAACTGATCATGGGTTCACTGGTCAGTTGGGTCATGGGGAATTATCCGCTTCAGAGTGAGGTACGTGAATGTCTACAAATCTCTTTTTTGAGTTGACGTGCTCTGTTTTCCTCTCGCAGGAGCGGTTCAGGGACAGGTCTTTCCAGCCCTCCTTTGGCAACCCAAACAGTGGTTCCTCTCCAGCATTGCAAGATCCCAGAACTGCCCATTGAGAGGAGCATCTTGTTTGAACTCCAACTCTTCTTCTGTCATCTTATTGCTCTCTTTGTCCACTACATAAACATCTACAAAACAGTCTGGTGGTACCCACCCTCTCACCCTCCCTCCCATACTTCATTGGTGAGTATTTCATATCCGATTGCCTGTTTGCGAGATCTTAAGTCGCGTTTATAAAACTAGAAAAAAATATTGCTGCCTTAAGATTGTGAAAGACGACGTCCAAGGGCAGTCAGGTTGGAGGAAATGCTACCCAGATTTCTTCTTAAACGACTTCAAAATTGTTCGAATACTAAACTTAAGAGTATACAAGTGTAATTTATAATGGGGGTCTGCTATGAGTCTTGGGGAATGTATAAGGGCTGCGCATGACATGGCGAGCGAAAGCTATATTTTTCTTAAATCTGGTCTCTTAAGTTAATATTAACCTTCTATGCCAGCGTTTCTCAACCTTGACCACTTTTAAGATGTGTGGACTTCAATCCCAGAATTCTCCAGTAAGCTAAATCCTGTTCTATATTGTCTGGTCTTAATCCTTCTAAAAACTGTTGATGTTAATAATTTGAAGGGTCTTACAGAAAAGCAGTAGCTGAGGAAGACCCTGGGGCTGCACTCATGGAGCGTGCATTCTCAGGCCCATTGCAGCGTAAACTCTGATGCACTTCATAAGATTTGTCAGCCATTATAATGAGAGGGAAGTTTTGTATACCCATGGTCTGAAGACAAAGGGCAGTGGCAATGCCTTCTTGATATCCATTTACAAATGTTACATAGTTGTTCCCATGTTTGTGAGCTGAACTATATAGGCAATATGATAGG